GGTTTTTTGTATGTAATCCAAGTCATTTTTTTAGAATGATATTTTGTACAAAATGCAAGTCGTTCTTCTGGAGCACTCTTTTGTACATAAAACATGTTGTTCTTATGGAACGATTTCTTACATGTCATTCTTCCAGAATCGTCTTATCTTCTCATTTTGTGCTTTGAACTATAAGTTCAAATTACATATAAAAATAATTAAAAATAAGAACCAAGGAACTTGAAAGTTCCAATTAGAATTTGTTTACAATATTTTGATTCCATTGTGGAAAACATGATAAATAAATAATTTTTCAAAAAAAATTTGATTTTGAACTTTAGGTTCAATTAAAATATTATATATGTTATTCCAGAACTGTAGGTTCTTGATAAGGTACGAACTTCAAGTTCATATTAATATTAATCTCAATAAAAATGATGAACTTTAGATATATATTTACATATATTTGAAACTTTAGGTTCGAATACATATATCAAATTTAAAAAGGATATTTGGTTTTGAACTTCAGGTCCAAATTTGTATTAATATGATACTTTTCAAGGTAATAAAATTGAAGGTTGACACAATTAGAACTTCAGGTTCTAGAATTTCCTCTTTTTTATTTTTTTATTTATTTAATTAAAATTTAATGCATATGTGGCCGAAACTTACAGTTTGGATTAGGCATAATTAGAACTCGGGTTCTAAGATTTTTGAACTTCATGTCTTATTAGGAACTTCAGATCCTTAATTATAAATTGTTGAAATGAAAACAAAGAACTGAATATAACAAGAAAATTAAAATTAAAATTAAAATACTGTAATAAAATAAACCGTTGGAACTTCTGGTTCCAGTTAAAGAAAATCAAAGAACTCCAAGTTTTGATTTGGGTTCTGAGAATTCCAGAACTCGAAGTCCTTGTATAGATATTATATGAATTGAGAACTAAGAGACTTCGAGTCTTTATTTAATTATATAATACTAATTTAGGGACTTCAGGTCCTTGCATAAAATAAAAATAAAACCAAAGAAAAGAACTAAGTAAAAAAAAAAAAATACAACAAAAAAAAAATTAGAATAAAATAAATTGTTGAAACTTCTGGTTGCAATGAAAAATGAATCGAAAAGCTTCAGGTCTTCATTTGTCTTTTAAGAATTGGGAAAATTCAAGTGCACAAATATTTATATTATAAAGATTGAAATCTAAGGATCTTCTGGCCCTTATATGATTAAATAAGAATTAAGAAACTTCTAGTCCTCCATTAATATTTATATTATAAGGATTGAAATCTAAGGATCATCTGGCCCTTATATGATTAAATAAGAAATGAGGAACTTCATGCCCACATATAATTATATTATAAGGGTTGAGAATTTAGGATCTTCTGGTCCTAATTAATTGAAAATGAATTGAGGATTATAACCCTCAAAACTGTAATATGATAGTGCACTCCACTAAATCATTAGAACTTCTGGTTCTATAATTATTACGTTTGCTCAATGTTAAACTCCAGGTTTAGCTCATTAGGATGTGAACTTCAGGGTCACATATTTATACAAAGATATAGACTTTTCAACCTTATATTTCATTATACATGAATTGAGATCTTCATACCCTTTTTAGATTTATAGGAATTTAGGATCTTCAGGCCTTTTCCTTTAATTGTATAAAATTTAGGATCTTCAAGTCCTTCATTAAATATATTGAGGATCAAGATCTTCGGGTCTTAATTCCTCCCTTTTTTTTTCAACTCCATCATAATACACATAGTATATAGTGGAACGAATATTATCTTTTCGTATAAATATGAACCATTTATAATAAATGGGCATTAATTGCTTCTGGCAATCATGATTTCAGTTATATATATAATACAAGACCGTAAGTATCAATATTATATAGGTATATATACATATAGTAAAACAATATATATCACGGTATACAAAAAGTTATTAAGCCCATGAACTAACTATATATATGTATAGGTTATATAACATATTATATTACCATTGTAAAACGAAATTAACTAATAACCCAAAATTAAATAAAATTAAATGAGTGTAGTGGTATATAAACAAAGAATAAAATAAATAAATTAAAGACTATGAAATTCCAAGATAATCTAATATTAATGTGGATTCAATATGTAGATAAAACTACAAGTTTAATAATTGGATTTCCAACCAATTCAGATTCATATAGGCACAACTAAGTAATAAACTTTAGGTTCATATATAGTATTAAGATCCATGAAAAACTATGAACTTTAGGTTTATATCAACATATATTCGAAACTTCAGGTTTGAATACGTAGATCTAAATAAATTGAATTAATAGTTGTACTTTGAACTTCATATTCAAATCGATGTATATGCACTCGAAACTTCTAGTTCGGGTTCTTGACATATGTAGGCCTCTTGAAATTCTGATTTTGATTAATACAAAATCAAGAAGTTTCATGTCCTTATGTGCTCTTTAAATTCACAGAACTTCACACCCTCAATTATTTGGAATCAAAGAACTTAAGTTTTTGATTCAATCAAAAGGACTCTAGGTCCTAATCAAGTTATATGATGAGGATCGAGGAACTTCGGGCCTTGATCTTTTATATAATACAAACTCATTATAATAATTAAGATCATACATAAAAATAAAATAAACATGACATTATATTCATGTATAATAAGTATAAGAATTTTTTTTTTTTCCTTAAATGAGCATGATGAAGTTTGATGGTGAGTACAAAGAAACTCTATACCATGTGATGACTCTAGCTCATATAAGAAGAAAGAAAATTCAGAGAAAGAAAACATACCAAGAGCAATGTCGTGCTGATAACGTGTTATATAACTAAGGGAAAATTGTAAAGAGAATTTGAAAGTAGAGAAAGACAATAGAAATTGTTCAATCAAATTGTATATCTCATCTTGATAAGACTTCTTATTTATAGGCTTATAATGGTAAGAAGACAATAACAACTCATAAGTTACAAGCCCATAACTATGGTATTTAGTGTATATGTTACATAGAATTAGAATGGGTGAATGCTAAGTGGTATGGTAGTCATCCACCAACTCATGCATTTACAACACATATAACTATAAAGTGAGATTAACAACTCAAATGAGACTATATATCTTAGTAGTGTCTCCAAAGTTAAAAGTCATGAAAGTGAGATAACCAACTAATATTTGATCCTAAATAGTCTCCATGATAGAGAAATTTAAGAGATTTGAGAGAGAATTTAAATAGAGTATGAATGTGGAGAAAGAGCCATAGCAATGTTCTCACGGTTTCTTCTTCTATATCTTCTTATTAATATTGGTGCCTATTTATAGGCATAATATATACATATAATATTACACAAAATGTTAGGTTTGATAGCATAATGGGGTGAGTCATCCAGTAGGTATTGTTAGAGGAAAACATAGGTGACATCCACTTTAATCTTATTGATTTACAACATTTCCCCTTGAATGTCCACCATGCATGAAATATGCCTCATTAAAAACCTTGCCAGTAAAATATAGTGGGACAAAAAATTGATCAAAGGGTAAAAGAGTACATAACCATGTGTAGCATAAAACTTTGTCACGTGTATAATGAACACTGACTAGCGTGCGACACTGCCTCGTTAAAACCTTGCCAAGAAAAATCCAGTGGAATAAAAACCTGGACGAAGGAAAAAGAGTACACTGTGTGAAAATCTTTATTGATAGCACGCTCCCCCTGATGTTTGCAAAATATCCTTAAGCCATACTGTTGATCATCTTTCTGAATGTCATAGTTGACACTACTTATGTGAGTAATCTTGTAATATTGTTAGATGCTCCCCCAAAAGAATTACTTTCCTTTGATAACTTCATACTCTGATGACCTATCACAAATGATATTGATATCACATTTATACTTCAAGGAGTGATCTTTGATAATGACTGCATAAAACTTGTTGTTGCAGCATCATTGAAGGATTCATGTGTGTTTTCATTCATCTAATCCCTGTTAAGGTTAGAGTAATACAAAAAAAATATCTATGCTACTTTCGTAAGCCTTTCACTTCATATAATGGTTTGATTTTCATATGCTATATTAAAATAATAATAATAACCTCATATTTATAATGATAAGAGCATTAAATATTTATATGGTATAATCAGTCATTCACACATATCCTTATACATTTTGAGAATATTGCATATGTTATTTCATACATACCCTTGTATGTTTTGAGAATAATTGCATATGCTTTTCCATTGGCTCTTTGGGAGTCTAAATATTTCTCTTAACTTTAAGCATGTTAATAAGTTGCAACGTCTTTAAATTTGAATTCAATTAAAGTACTCTCAAAGGCAATTTATACATATTGATATTGAGTACAAAATTTGTGCTTCAGGCACATGTTTTTCAAATATTTGCTTCATGCAATTTTAATCCTTTAGGGATTTTATTTAAGGGATTACACTTCATGACACATTATATAGCTTTATATCCAGCTATTTGTTCTGCTTGTACATCTTTAGGGAATCTCTTCTGACGATATGCTCCGTGCATTTATTTACCCTTAAAGATAACATGTTGGTCTCCGTAAATGTGCAATAAAAAGGCACGATTGCATCTGTAAACATGTAGTACCTCAACATTACTTGTTTCTACCAGAAACATTGTATCATATAAAGTGAGTATAGTCCTCTTTATTTCGAACACCTATGTATAACCTACATGGTTAACATCTTTTTGGGGTTTGTACTATGAGTTTGTTCTTTCACGTTCATTCTCAACTATAATGAAATTGCCTCTTTCCATTTTGGCCAATGATTTTGTCGACATTTAATAATAGAACATAGAACATGGTTCCAATCAACACAGCTCATTGATGATTTGAGTAAGGGAATTAAGAGAGGATTTAGGAGAGTATGGATAGAGAAAGAGCCATAGCAATGTTCTTACGGTTTCTCCTTTTATCACTTCTTATTAATATTGGTGCCTATTTGTACGCATAATATATAAATATAATATTACACAAAATGTTAGGTTTGATAGCATAATGGGGTGAGTCATCCGGTAGATATTGTTAGAGGAAAGCATAGGTGGCATCCACTTTAATCTTATTGATTTACAACACTTTTAATCAATTGTGAGAATGTTCATGTTCTTCAGCACGCTCCTTGTGTTGCATTGGCTTAAAACGATGTCATTTGGCTTTAAATGGGAAACTAAAATTGATAAATAAAACACGTGGATAGGGGAATTATCAGTCGATAACAGAGAGACGAGAGAAACACTACAGCTAAATTCATTCAGATGTGCAGTCATCTTTCTCAAAAGTACAGGTTCAGCCACCTTCTTCAAAAGAGCTGAAGAACCTTGCCATCTTTTCTGAAAGGGATTGCTGGCTTTCATTTAATGATTCTTCATCTCCCTCATACTCATCATCACCTTCATAGACCAAATGGATCCCCCACTTCTTCAGCTCAACCCCTTTCATCATCGGTGGCTCTCTCCGTATCACACGTATGTTATAACTATCTTTCAACTGAGAAACCAAGGGATGGTGAATTGGGTATCGGCACAAGTGAACTTGATCTTCATTTGTATTTGGCACTCCCAATAAGAATAAAGCTGAAGTATATGTAGGAAAATCCAGTATGAGGATCTGTGCTAGAATGTCTACTATTGCAGGGACTTCGTCTCTCATGTCATCTGGTACTTGCTGGTTGAGAGAGACTACAACACCTATGATCACACTTTTGAGAACACAGTTTTTTCTTTCTGAGAATGTAACCACATCTTGAGAAAACCAGTCTGGTATCTTGCTCCCGGGAATGCTAAGATTGCGTATTTTCCTCATGTAGCTCTGCAACAAAAAATTTCAAATCTATGATTGTGTTTCACTTTCTTATACATGTACACGCATAGTATATACACGGAGAGAGAGAGAGAGAGAAAGAGAGAGAGAGAGAGAGAGGGAGAACCTTAGCAAGTCTTTTCTTAATAGCTGATGAGCAAGCTGTGCAACCACTTGCATACAACCTTACCAAGGACTTCAAGCATTCAAGTCCTGGAATGTCCACAACTTTCTCACAACTTGTAAGGTTCAGCATCGCCAAGTTCTCCAGGTTTGAAATATCAGAGATACTTTCTAATGAGGTGCAGTTTGCAGCATCCACCTCTTCTAAACTTGAGGGAAGCGGAGGCAAAGCCTTGAGCTTTTTACAGTGAGGTAATATAAGCTTTCTGAGAAGAGATAGGCCCCTCAGGCTGGCTGGAAGGCCGTAAAAGTTATTACGGCCTAGATTCAAGATTTCGAGCAGTGACAACTTCTCGAAATCATCTGCAATTTTACCAGATATATTACAAGCACCAGCATGCAGTTCATATAGCAAGGATAGATTTGAGAAAGAAGCGGGGAGTATAAATTTAATCTCTTCTGTATCTTCCCTCTTTTGATACTTCTTTCCCATATTTAAAACCATTAAACTGGAAAGCATTCCGAAGCTTTCGGGTAGTTCTGTCACAGCATTTTCCACCATCTGCAATCTGTGCAAGGACTTTAATTGGCCTATTGAAGTTGGAAGCTTGCGGAGGTGTTTACATCTGTTCAACTGTAACATTGTAAGGTTTTCCAACATCCCTATCGATTCTGGCAATGCAGTAATATCAGCTTCAGTTATGACTAATGTAGTCAATGCCTTCATGCTTCCAATTGATTCTGGTAACGATCTAAGAAATGCACATTTCCTCATCTCAAGCTTCTCAAGTGACTTCAAGGCACCAATCTCATGTGGAAGATCTGTGATTAATGTCTGATCAATTTTTAGCACAACTAGAGAATTCAAACCTCCAATTGAATCAGGCAATCTGCTCAAAATTTGACCGTGTCCTGTTGATAATTCCTTCAAATTTGATAATGAACCAATGGACACAGGAAGTTCTTTGATTCCGCTACCGTAAGTATGAAATTCCATTAACGAACTGAGGTTGCCAATGGAATCAGGAATAGTTGTCAGTGATTTACACCAGAGCAAACTTAGTTTCTCAAGGTTTGCCAAATATCCAAAGGAAACAGGTAGTTTTTCTAAAGCAGAATCGTTGAGGGAGATTTCTTTCAGAGAATGCAACTTTCCTATCAACTCAGGTAGCCCTTTCAAATGTTTGCACCGGTTCAAGCTGAGCTTTTCGAGTTTTGAAAACCGGAAAATAGATTCTGGAAGACTTTTTACAGCAGTGCCATCAAGGAGAAGATATTTTAATGATACCATGCTGTCCATGTTGCTTGGCAGTTCTTTCAGTTGTAAGCAACCAGAGAGGATCAGGTTCTCAAGTTTTGTCAGGCCGGAGACATCATTTGGAAGTTCAACGAGGTTTTCACAGTCTCGAAGGTTCAAGTGGATCAATGTATGCAAATTCCCAATCGAGGCATGAAGTTTAGTCAGTTTACTGCAACGCTCAAGATTAAGCTTTTCCAAGGCCTGATTCCCAGATAAATCAGGAATGGTGGTTAGGTTAAAGCAACCATATAGATTCAAAAGCATCAATTTCTCAGCCACCTGGAAACAATAAAAGTGTATAAGCATCTACCAAACTGCATTAGTTGTGCCTTAGAAATAGAAAGGAAGAGACAGAGATACAAGGCAGACACATATGAAGATCAGTGATATAAATTCTTGCTGTCACAATTATAATGATAAAGATGATGGATCAGATAGTGAAGCATATACCTTGTTACGGCGCCCATGCCACAAACGTTCGATTTTGCTGCGTGAAAGATCAAGGACAGCAAGTTGGCGAGGGGGAAAATCCGAAGGAAGAGAATTCAGAGGACAACCTTTCCACTGTAACCACTTCAACTCTGCGGGAAGAAACTTGAAGCGGCCTTCCAAATTCAGATAATTGATTTGAAGCAGTCTAAGATTGACCATTTTTCTTAGGGGTTTAGTGCAAATTGTAACCTGTCTCTCTTTCTCTGCTTTCGTTTGAAGATATGTTTTGTATCTTTCTTTTAGGTATGTAACTGCAGAGGTAAAAGTTGGGTATCTTCGAAAGTTATCCCAAGAAATTCTGTCACCACTTGGATCCTTCACCAGCCTTTTTGTTGATTCAAAGTCTAGTACTATCCCCTGTATACTTCTTGTTCCCTATTATCAAGGTATGGAAAAATATGTAAGAAATTGAGTGAAGAAAAATAATAATGCATCATCCTTTAAGACATTCAAGCGTCTTCAACATCTTTTTTTTTTTGGTCGAAGCGTCTTCGACATCTAAATCTAGCCAGAAGAATATATAAACAATAAAAATAATAGTGCTGGAATCTCTACCTTATCATCCTTGAAGACATTCAATATGTCATCACGATCCCAAAGTCTACTACGCATGCCAAGATCTACAACGTTTTCCTCCGTAACGATTTGTCTTCCCATGTCTTTAACTTGATCGTGCATCCACAAGATACTGTCTCCATAAACTTTAATGAGAGATTTTGCTACGAGGTCAGCAATTGCTATCTCACCATCAAAACCACAACCTTTTAATATGTCAATTGCATCTTCTCTCCTCATATTCATTGTTACAAATAAACATGCAATGTCTAGAAAGATGCACTTCTCTTGCTCATCTAGCGCATCATAACTTATCTTTAACACATCCTGAAGATTGCGCGGACGAATCTGTTTCAGTTTCTGCAGAGCATCTCTCCATTCCTCTATTCTCCTCTTATCAAAAAGGTAAGAACCAAATATTTCAAGAGCCAATGGTAGCCCACTTGTGAGAGACACAATTTGCTGAGAGAGAGTTAAGAAAGTATCCGTGGGTTTTTCTCTTCTCAGTGCATGGTAACTAAAAAGTTGAAGTGCCTGAGGGAATTGCAACTCCCTGACCTCATACAACTCGTTCACAAGATGACTGGGTAAGACTTCTCTATCTCTGGTGGTAACAATAATTCAGCTTCCTTCATAAAACCATTGTCTGCTGCCAACTAAAGCATTTAGTTGGTTTACATTATCAACATCATCCAAGACAATAAGAACTCGCTTCTCGTATACAATTGCTTTGATTGCAGAAATACCAGTATTAAGTTCATTTGCAGACATGGTATTAGAAGAAAGACTACCAATAAGCTTGTTTTGAAGTGATACTAAACCCTCATGCCCTGCTGAAATTTCTCTAACATTTGAGATGAAACTGTGGCACTCAAAATAACCCACAAGTCTATTAAAAAGAGCCTTGGCAAGTGTTGTCTTGCCAACACCACCCATGCCATGAATTCCGACAACTCGAATGCCCTTGGATCTTACATCTAACAACCTCATCATGTCTTCAACTCTGGAATCAAGTCCCACTGTGTATTCAGCAAGACCCACAGGGGTTTTGCGTATTTCAGTCAAAACCGTTTTGACTAACAATTGAATCAACTCTGCTTCTTTGCTGTCAATATACATAATCACAAATACATCACTTAGGCCCTTATGGTGATAAGCAAAACATAGAACGCCTGAGAATTAATTGTCTGTTACGGACCAATAAGCCTGTTTATCTTGACAATAACTAAATCTTGAAACAAGCCAAAAGTAACAAATCAACTGCAAATCATGTTATCAGTGATCATACAAGAGGAATAGGACGTAGAATGAAAACACCAATTAGTTAACGGGTGGTCCTCAGAATGAAATCATGTTATGCAGCAAAACACAGGAAGCAGCTATTTATGAAAACAAGTGGTCCTCAGAAACAAGCCAAAACTCTCACACTTCAGAATGTAAATCCGAATGAAAACGAGTCAAACGACAGTGCGGTGAGGAAAGAAAGATACATTAGCTTATCTTTACAGTATTGCCCAATTTAAATTACTATATTACATATGAATGAATGAATAATTTAAACAAAGTGAAAAGAATACCCCACCACACTTATTTAATTAATTCTTCCAAAACACTTTGTTATATCTTAATATCATATACCAAGACCTTAAACATTAGATAACTAAATCTCTAATCATATCTCAATTTTTGCATGGTAGCTAAGCTAAGCTAGGGTTTTAAGGGTTTTCAAACTGATTGAGTGGGAATTTAGTTATGAATTATGATTATTATTGAGTGTTGCTAAACGAACCCTAAAATTATACTACCAAAATATTTATTGAATTACTAATTTACCCTAATATAAAATGACCAAAAAATATATATTGAATTGCAAAACAAATATAATTTTAATAAGTACACCCTACTCACCATATTCAACCCGAATAAAAGGCCTAAGCAAGAAAAATGCTTCCCCGATTCCGACCATTATGAGATGAAAGAACCATGTTGGGAAACCTATGGAGAATGAAATAGGCTTCTGACCCCAGAAAAAGTAAGAGCAGACCCAGGGAAGTTTGGGTGAATGAGGGGTTGTCGATAGGGCTTTCTTCTAGGAGGGATGATTGTGAGCTTCCTGACGATTTTAACTCTACTAGCATATCCTTTTTTTGGGTCAAAACAGCAGGGAAATTTATTAAAGATGAATAAGATTGTTTACATCACTACCCATGCTGGACCTGATTACCACCCATCCTAGAAACATAGGCTGCCATCTCATGTGCAGCTCTATTTCAGTGTCGTGTGTAAGAAAACACCACTTGCCTAATTAAACTGTTGAACTAAAACATGAATATCAAATAGTGTGTAAGAAAACACCACTTGGCTAATTAAACTGTTGAACTAAAACATGAATATCAAATAGAATGTTGTGTGATAGAGTTTATTAGGGTGTATCAAGGGTATTTTAATAGTAAAGTAAGTTGTACTTAGTTAATTTTATATTTTGATTAAAACATTATAGTGTACTTAAATCATATGGTGTACTCAGTTAATTTTAGAGTTCGTTTAGCAACACTCTTATTATTTTAGTACTATTACTAATTTAATTCGATTAATTACTACCTGGCGTTGAAAATATACCCAGCTGTACCACCGACCTTCGCCATGGCGCTCCTCCACCTAGAGACGACGGCGTTTTCGTACACTTGCTCATGAGCTCTAAAATGCTCTGCAAATGGGCCCCTCTGCCGTCGAACGTCGGAGGGGTCTACTTGGTAAAACACAGGCAGAATCATCAGGCGCAGTCTCCGGCTACGCTCGCATATCTTAGCCAGCTCTTCAAGGCACCACCTTGACTCGGCATATCTCGGCGACAGGACGACGATGGCCGCCGCCGAGTCTTCGATCGCCTCCAGCAGACCAGAGGCGATCTCGTCCCCGCGGTTCAAACCTTCGTCGTCTCGGAAGACTCGGACGCTGCGTTTCTCGAGCTCCTCGTAGATATTCTTCGTGATCGTTGAGCGGGTGTCTTCGCCTCTGAAGCTCAGGAACACGTCCCAGCGTAGCCGGAAACCTCCCGCGGTTGGTGAAACGGAGTCGTCGGCGTCGTCTTCGCTAGCCATTTCTGCTTCACTTGTTATGCGTGCAGAGAAATGTATGTGCCAATTAAAGGATCGATAATTTCGAATCAAAGTAGAAGCTATATATGCACCATTCGTGATTAAAGTAATGGATTATTCTTGCCAATTGCTTGGGTTATGCCTTCCGTGTTGGACATCGCTCCAAACCAATGCAGTAGGGTTCTTTGCCCTCTCAATAGGAAAGGTGCTCGAAAACAAAAAAAAGTAGCCACATAAAAATGAAAGGTAAAAATAAAAATGATAAAACTCAGTAAGAATATAAGGAGGCTGCAAAGAATAGTTGTTCACTTGCTTTGGTCAACTGAACTATTTTCTTCAGTCACCTTCTTCAAAAGAGCTGAAGAACCTTGCCATCTTTTCTGAAGGAGATTGCTGGCTTTCATTTAATGATTCTTCGTCTCCCTCATAATCAACATCAGCTTCATAGACCAAATGGATCCCCCACTTCTTCAGCTCAACCCCTTTCATCATCGGCGGCTCTCTTCGCATTACATGTATCTTGTAACCATCTTTCAACTGAAAAACCAAGGGATGGTGAATTGGGTATCGGCACAAGTGAACTTGGTCTTCATTTGTATTTGGCACTCCCAATAAGATCAAAGCTGAAGTGAAGGTAGGAAAATCCAGTATGAGGATCTGTCCTAGAATGTCCACGATTGCGGGAAGTTCTTCTCTTATGTCATCGGGTATTTTCTGGTTGAGAGAGACTACAACACCTATGATCACACTTTTGAGAACACAGTTTTTTCTTTCGGAATGTAACCACATATTGAGAAAACCAGTCTGGTATCTTGCTCCCGGGCATGCTAAGATTGCGAATTTTCCTCATGTAGCTCTGCAACAAAATTTTCCAAACCTATGATTGTGTTTCACTTTCTTATATATGTATATAAACATGTACACACAGAGACGGAGAGAGACAGAGAGTTAGGAGAGCACCTTAGCAAGTCTTTTCTTAATAGCTGATGAGCAAGCTGTGCAACCACTTGCATACAACCTTACCAAGGACTTCAAGCATTCAAGTCCTGGAATGTCCACAACTTTCTCACAACTTGTAAGGTTCAGCATCACCAAGTTCTCCAGGATTGAAATGTCAGAGATACTTTCTAATGAAATACAGTTTGCAGCATCCACCTCTTCTAAACTGGAGGGAAGCGGAGGCAAAGCCTTGAGCTTTTTACAGTGAGGTAATAGAAGCTTTTTGAGAAGAGACAGGCCCCTCAGGCTGGCTGGAAGGCTGGAAAATTTATTACGGCCTAGATTCAAGATTTCGAGTGATGACAACTTCTCAAAATCATCTGCAATTTTACCAGATATATTACAAGCACGAGCATGCAGTTCATATAGCAAGGATAGATTTGAGAAAGAAGCTGGGACTATAAAATTAATCTCTTCTGTGTCTTCCCTCTTTTGATGCTTCTTTCCCATATTTAAAACCATTAAACAAGAAAGCATTCCGAAGCTTTCGGGTAGTTTTGTCACTGCAGTTTCCACCATCAGCAATCTGTGCAAGGACTTTAACTGTCCTATTGAAGCTGGAAGCTTACAGAACTGCTTACATCTGTCCAGCTGTAACATGGTAATATTTTCCAACATCCCTATTGATTCTGGCAGTTCTGTGATAGCAGCTTCAGTTATGATTATAGAAGTTAGGGCTCTCATGCTTCCAATTGATTCTGGTAATGATCTAAGAGATGCACATTTCCTCATCTCAAGCTTCTCAAGTGTTTTCAAGGCACCAATCTCATGTGGGAGATCTGTGATTAATGTCTGATCTATTTTTAGCACAACTAGAGAATTCAAACCTCCAATTGAATCAGGCAATCTGCTCAAAAATTGACCGTTCCCTGCCGATAATTCCTTCAAGTTTGATAATGAACCAATGGACACAGGCAGCTCTTTGATTGGACTACCGTAAATATAAAACTCCATCAACGATTTCAGGTTGCCAATTGAATCGGGAATAATGCTCAGTGATGTACACCAGAGCAAACTTAGTTTCTCAAGGTTTGCCAAAGATCCCATGGAATTCGGTATTTTTTCTAATTTTTCGCACCCGTTAAGGGAGATTTCTTTCAGAGAACACAACTTTCCTATCAAGTCGGGGAGCCCTTTCAAATATTTGCACCTGTTCAAACTGAGCTTTTCAAGTTTTGTAAGCCGGAAGATAGATTCGGGAAGACTTATTATAGCAGTGTCATCAAGGAGAAGTTCTTTTAATGATACCATGCGGTCCATGTTGTTTGGCAGTTGTTTCAGTTGCAAGCAAGCAGAGAGGATTAGGTTCTCAAGTTTTGTCAGGCCGGAGACATCATTTGGAAGTTGAATGAGGTTGGAGCATTCTCGAAGGTTCAAGTGGACTAATGTCTGCAAATTCCCAATAGAGTTGTGAAGCTTAGTTAGTCCAGTGCAATGCTCAAGAGTAAGCTTTTCCAAGGCCCCATTACCAGATAAATCAGGAATAGCAGTTAGATTAATGCAGCCGGTCAGATTCAAGAGCATCAGTTTCTCAGCCACCTGGAAATAGAAAGATAAAAAAATAAAGATCAGTTATGCACATGCATACAATGTCAAAATAATAATGAAGATGATGGATCAGACAATTAAGCTTATATGTACCTTGTGACCACGCCCACGCCACAAACGTTCGAGTTTGCTGTCTGAAAGATCAAGCACGGCAAGTCGGAGAGGAAAAAAATCCAAAGCAAGAGATTTCAGAGGACAACCTTTCCACTGTAACCACTTCAACTCAGCAGGCAGAAACTTCAAGTCCCCTT